TCACCAAATACAGTATAACAATAACAAAGAAAAAGAGGCCTTATATTTGAAAGTGACTAAGTGGAGAGAAATAACAATATGGGAGTGTTTAGGAAGAAAAGATGTAGCAGGGGTAAGAAGACAGAAAAAAATGAAAGGAGGAAATGATATCATTTTGTTTTAATTTTAAAAACTGAAAAAGGATTCAAAGTTTGAAGTGGACTGAAAGAGCTTGCTCGTATTTAGGCGTTAGTAAGAACTGACAGAGAAGAGTGGCTTGCAGAGGGCAGGAGGAGGGGATCAGAATGGAGCAGAGGGTGAGACAGGAGCACACAAAATGATCACTAGAGGACTCTTCCTGCATTTCAACTGGGGGAAGTTGGGAAGAATACTAACATGTAACTGTGGGCTCAATTAACATTTAATGTAAAAAAATAAAGGCAATTTTCCTCTATAACATTATTTTCCATCCAAGACAGGACATGTCAGTGGTTTAGTGAGAAAAACTAAATTGTTTTAAAGGTTAGAATAGAGTGTTGCCTAAGACAATTTTCAGGCAAATAGATCCATTCCCTTTGGCACTTCCCTTTGGCAACAGCAGGTTCATCGCAGGACTCAGCAGCAGCCAGACATAGGGAAGGGCAGGTGCATGACCCACTTCCCAAAGTATACAAGCAGAAGATAAAAGACAATGAGAGAAGAAGGCTGAGGGCACTCACAGGAGAAGGTCTGAATGATTTTACCATGCTAAGTTGACAGACATAAAACAAGCTACAAATGAAGGGAAATAGCAACTATGAGAATCAGAGAAAGCAGGTGTCCCTATCTTCTAGTCTCTGTGAAAGAAGTTCACCTTCATTCTGAGTAAGCTGAAAACACTCATGGCTGTCACCATAAGCCCAGCTCAGTAGTCTGCTGAGAAACATGTGTGGATAGTCACTTTATAGAAAATTCTAGAAAGCAAAGTTGACTATGTGGTATGAGTATTTTCATCAGTTGTGGAGAAACTCTGTCAGATATTTCAAGATGTGGTGAAGTATGATGTCAATGTGGGTGTTGAGGTACACGGTTGAATATGAACACTGAAGTTATTTTTGTAGATACCAGATGGAATCATGGAGCAGAAAACAGAATAGAAATTGAAATGTTTGAATGATACCAAAGACATTCAGAGAACTCTCAATGAAAGATGGACCTATTATCTCTCTAATAAAGACTATGAAAAAGGAAGAGCATGAAAGAAAACCAGGAAACATATCAATGAGAAGAGAGGTGGATAAAACAAAAAATACAGGAGCTCTGTGTGTGTGAATGTTTATATAAACTAAAATAAGAGTATATGGTCAAAAAGGTGTTTTGCATCTACTACCAAGTAAAACAAAATGTAGGTGACATGAACAAGATTCCAAAGGAAGAAAAACATATTTGCTGCTGAAATTCCTTTGTAGCAGTGACAACCTTTTAATGATTTACATTTAATTTTAAATCATATGTGTTCTAGTAAGCCAGTGCCAGCTGAGACCAGAAGAGGGTATCAAATGCCCAAGAGCTATAGTTATGGGTTGTTGTTAGCTACCTATTGGGAACCAAATTTAGGTCCTCTGAAACCATAGTACATGCATGCTCTTGATCATTGGTCAGAAATTTCATATTTATCAAGACATTGTGTTTCCTAAGATTACATCATTTCTCATCAGTATTTAGTTAAGAGAACAAAGGAATAAAAGGCTTCTCATTCCCTTTTCATAAGTCATCTTCTCATTCAAAGTAATCAGTTCTATAAAAATAAAATACATATTACAAGCATATGTGTAATATATAGTTCTTACAGAACCAATGATTTAAATATTGATTTAGTATATGATAGTATATTTGAAAAATCTCACCTTCACTTTCTTCCAGTGGTTTTATAATTTCATACTTGTAGAAAAGAACAGCAAATACAATTGATGAAATTCCTAATATAAAGGCAGATGCTGCCAGCCATTTTGACCTGTTCCCTTTGCCTCCGTAGTACGCTGCCACTATTGCTACCAAGAAAGATGCATAATAATCAGTGAAATCCATTATGGTTATCTCTTTCTCTGTCAGAGAAAATTCTTTCACCATTTGTTTGAAACTCATATCACTCAGGGAAATTAAAGCACCTAGAAATTCAAGAGAAAGACAAAGGCAATGTAATGCATTTTAATATACAAATATATCATCACTATAACCATTCAAAGGAAATGTTACACTGAACTAAATTTATTTTATAATACTATGAATGAGTAAAACCCATATCAAAAAAATGATTCATTTGTCTCAATTAAATATTTTTACTTGAATATTAGAAGCTATTTTAACCACCTCTATTAGTAGCTTATTAAGATCAATCAATGAGTTAATCATCTCAATCCCTCTTTTTAAATGCATTATGTATCAGTTATGAAGAATTAATAAATAAGGGATGTTTACATATTTTCTAAATTAAATCTGTAAAGACATTTAGAACCCATCTTAGATTTCTTTCTCTCTCTTTCTCTCTCTCTCTCTCTCTCTCTCTCTCTCTCTCTTTTGGTTTATTTGAGTCAGGGTTTCTCTATATGTTTGGAGAGGATTCTGTGCTTGAAGCTTAACATTTCTGAGCTTTTTTAATCTTTTAAAAAAGTATACATTCAATGTAACTTGTTTTATGTTCTTGAGTATTAAATACACAGCAGCATTCTTTGTTTAAAATCACCATCCAGTACGTAAAGAAGAAAAGAAATCATACTAAGTGAAACAAAAGCAATTTGATACAGGGAATAGCTAGAAAAAGTATTACGTTCCTTAAAGTGAAAACAGAAATAGTTATAAATTAGAACTCATGACTACATCTGCAAAGGTCTTGGATCACAACTCATTGCTGCAGTATCCATAACTGCTGTTGTCCAACTATCTCAAACACTCTTTGGTTTGCAGGGATCCAGGAGTCCAGACTCTTCCTAAAGCTTTTAAAGCTCCGAGAAGCCACTCATCTCCTGCTGGTCTGCTGCCCCAGCAGTAGTCAAGGCTAGACCCAAGAAGCAAGGGCTGCTGAAATATTCATGTCGCTGATAGAATGTCTATTTTCTACTTTATCTCCAGAAACTTTAATCACCCTTTATTTTGCCAAAAAACACCAGCAAGCCAGAAAACCATAAAAGGTTCTGGCTACACCTTTGTATGCATATTGCTGGAGCCTCTCACTATCAACAGAGAAGTGTGAAGGTGGAAAGTTGTGGGGAAATGCAGATTCAAAGTGAGCAGAACATTTGCAAATAAAAGTAAGTTCCAAAGTAGATTGATGGAGCTTGGGAACTACAGGCAACAGCAGTCAGACTGTTTATAGTAACAAAATTTATGAAGAAAAATGTATAACTAAAATAATACAAGAAGGAGGAAGAGGAACAAGGAAGGAGAAGACAAAATGTGAATAAAACATCTCCCTTACTTTTCTTCCCCGGTAATTCTAAGATGGAGAAACAAAATCCAGACCAAAAGATGCTTTTTCAGAGTGTTTCAAAATTGTGAGCAGAAATCACCTCATGATGGCAATGCTATTTTCAATCTTAATCTCCAAGAAATTGAACCCAGAACTCAAGCTGATCATCAAATGACATGAACCAACAATACTACCTTCCCATCAGTTCTGTATCTGGAGACCAGAAGCTGGTACTCACTGTGGAGTGTCCCAAGCCAAGCAGGTTACCAAGGACTGGAGGATAAGAGCAGAGGTTTGGGTTAACTGATTCTGATTCATGGACCCTTTCCTTCTCACAGTATGTTGGCCTCATCTACCTCTCAACAGAGCAACTCTGCTCCAACTTACCGTGTACCATAACCGTCAGACAGTACAAAAACAGGAAGAAGTCAATATTGTTGAAACGTTGAAAAGCAGGGAAAACTAGAGGGCCCAAGCCGAATGGCCCCTCCAGGGAAGCAATGTATTTTGGATCTGATATCTTTAGGGGTCTTGAAGAAGCAAGCCTTTTCTCTGCTATGAGCCTTTTAAACGTTGCCACAGACCTTGGAACTGTTGTCAGATAGGGAATTAGTTTACTCGATTTCTGAATCTCCTTGTTGTCCTTGCCATCCCCCTCTTGTGCCGGAGCCACTTCCATGATATCTTGCTCTTTCTTCGGGGCCTGAGTCATAGCTTATCTGACAGAGCCGTGGAGACTGCAGGCACCTGTGCACTCTGTAGACTCCAGTGACTAACGCTGTGGCGGCCACTCTAAACACTGCAGGGAACGTTACTGCCGGTGCAGGAAGCTAACGTCCCCACCGAAGAGTTGACTGACGTGGCCAGAACTCCAACATTGTATTCCGTCTTCTCTATGTCAGAAAAAAGGAAAGAAGAAGACAACGGGGAAGAAAAGAAGGAGGGGAGAGAAGTCCTTTACATGTATCCTATTCCCTTTAATTCCCATTCCTTCACCTCTGCCCTTTGCCCCTGTACTCCCCTCCCCCAATAAAATAAATTTTAAGAGAAAAAGGAAGTAAATAAATTAAACACAATGTAACAAGAGGAAAACTTAAAAATCTTGTCATGGAAGCCGCAGTATGATCCAACAAGTCACACCGTGCACCCCTTTCACACATGTCTACTTGTAAGTATCCTTTGCAAAGAGTCATTTTCCCCTTTCCCATCTGGCGGACCAACAATATAGGCCCGCCCAGGCCTAAATCCAGGGTCATGACTTGACACGCAACAACATCCATCCCATCTTTGATCTGATGGAGCACATGAAAGGAACCAACCCATACACCCAAAGCTGCAGGATCTCTACTACACAGGGTCGCACCATATGTACAGGAAGTCATGGGGGGGGCAGCATCTATCGTTTCGTGGAGACCTGTGGCCTCAAACCAGACCAAAGGCTGTTTGAAATAAATATATTTAAAAAGAAAAACAAGGAAAAATAAATGCTTAAGCATATGACAGGGGAACAAACCTCCTTTATGTCCAGGCTTCCTTCTTTGCGGTGTTTTTACAAATTGATAATGTCATTTGTTACAAATTTGTTGAAGAATTACATTAGAGAAAGGGAGGGAGAGATAATAGAAAGAAAGATAGATGCTAGATGCTAGATAGATAGATAGATAGATAGATAGATAGATAATAGAGAATAGAAATCAGGGTGTATGGGAAGACATATTTGTATCTACTGTGGTGGAAGAGCTGGAAGAAAAACCAAGAATCAGAATTCAAAAAGTAATGCAAGGGCCTTGAAAGATAGGTCTTACAGTGACAAAAGAGTTGTTCTGATAAATACATTCCCCTCCAAGAATAGGAAGCAAGTAATGTATTCCACTATAAATGAAGTCAGGAAATGCAGAACAGAGCTTATATATCTGGTAGTAAAAATATTTACTTGGGTGAAGGACCATGATTTATGGCATTAAATTTGTTTCATATAAAAATGCAATTTTGGATCTGCTTACTTCCTGAGATGAAGCTGAGTCATGTATATTTCTGAATGTGACTTTCCAGCACAGTTGAACCTATCTACTCTTAAGATATAGATTTGTCAAAATTCATGAAGCTTTTGAATAATTTTGCCCCCCAAAAAAGTGTCATCATGGTATACTAAAAAAAAAAAAAACAACCAACTGAAACCTAAGCCAGCAAACCCAAATGTATTTAATTGACAGAAAATATTACTTTTTTCTTACATTAAGAGCCTCAAATTGTTCTCATAATCAATACATGAATAATGGTAAATTCCTAGTTTACTATTTCATTATACTCACCATAAATGTTTTCTCATACTGCTTCATCATATTAAATAATAAGCATAAATAAAATGAGATTCAGGGATAAAAAGTGTGGGATGGTGGGAATTGCTATTCTTGTTCTCTGATACCAGACTTGCATAGCTTAAAGGCAGAAGAACAAAGATAGCTCTGTAAACAGTGGAAGCTCTGCAAATTGTGTTTCAAATGAGACTATAGAAAGTCAAAGAGAACTCCATTCCAGTCTGTAAGTAATAGCTCTATAGGTCTTGTAAAAATAGTATTTGGGGTTCCAGCAGAGAGGTGAATTTGTAGTCATCAGGTGAATTCATTCCAAAGTATAAGAAGGTATTAAGAAGCAGTACAGAACATACACATACCATTTTGAAAAGACACAGAGACGGAAAGAACCATCAGGAAAAAAAAATTGGACCTCTTCAAAGGCAAATGGAGGCAAGTGTGTACTCTGAAAAACCTCACAAACCTTAGGAAAGAGAGCTAGCTCATCCCAATTTAGCAGAATTTGTAGCAATTAAGAAGGCATCTGGTAGTAGTAGACTTACTCTAAGGAAGAACAATGTTGAATTTCCCTTCCCCTCATGTTGTATTGCTTGTCCCTTTGGACATGCACAGCAGAAGCACTTTGCCTTTTCAAATAAGGAAGGGAATCCTCAAGTCCTCTGGTCCCAACCAAATGTTCTCATAAGGAGAACGGAACAGAGAGATTGGGTTATCTGTTTTCTACTCAAAAGTAGGATGCTACCACAGAGACTGATAGAAATTTAAAATATACCAAAAGGAGAGAGAAAGAAGCTTGATTTTACTCCAAGAAATTCATCAAAACAATACAAGATCTAGCCTTCAGGTCTGGACACTCAGATCTTTCTGAAATGCAGACTAACAAGGGGAATGAAGTCCAAATTCCATGACTGGGGAAAAATGTGTCATGTGAACAACACAGACAAGTAATAGCATCAGAGGAACATACCAACTGTGTGGTACACAGACAGGGCTTGAAAAAAAGGTAGCTAGCACAGTAACACTATAAAGATTTTCTAGTGCTCCAGGTTTTACCAGAGGCATAAGGAAGTTTATTCCCCATTGGAAGAATTTGATGTTCGTGTTTCACTGACAATGATTAGTATAGAAACAAAATCCAAATTAAACTCTTCTTGAGCACCCATTAACATATAGAATATCTAAAGAAGTGCAGCAACTATCCAGGTATAAATAGTTCATTCAGTCTTCACCATTCTTCATATTCACTGCCTGAAAATTTGTGTTAACTTACCTCATACATACAAGTTTAGGTACTTCCGTGAAACCAAAGGTAGAAAACCCATTTGAACACACAAGGAACACAAGTTTTAATAAACTAATAAAAGTTCCAGAACCATACACACAATGATTTTGGTAAATTAAAAATAAACAAGCACAAATACAAAAAAAATCCCACTTACTTATATAAATGTCAAGATGCAAATTTATTCTCTCTGTTGTCCCTCTTAGCCATTCCCTCTAGCCCCTGTTATAGCCCATCCTCATTTTTTTTTTTTTTTGTCAACCCATGTACCTAGACAGACTTTCAATCTAAGATCCTCAGAGGTGACATCAGGCTGGGAATTAGGCTGCTGACTCCCAGTGTTCTTTCTGTCCTCCATTTTGATGGTTCTTTCCCCACACACAGTGCTGCAAGAAGTTCTGTGCAGGAACCCATTCTATTACCTCAACTCCATTTACCAAACTCCAGTTCTTGGTACGATGCAGCATTCCTATTTCATAGCCATTTCATCCCTATCTCTCCAGATAACTTTTTGTCTTACTGTAACTTACTTTCAGGAAGCCTTTCCTCCCACCATACCTCCAACTTCCTGGACACCTCACCTCACACAGTGGACTGGATCCACTTGGCATTTTCCTGATGCTCACCTATCCAATCTTCCTTTCCCACCTATTTCACTATGCCTTCAACTGACCTGAAAAAGCACTCTCAACAGGGAAACCTACTACAACCATACCTTCCTAAGATAAAGAGAAAACAACAGAAGATGAGGAAAAGAACATCCAACCTACAAAGATAAGATTAAATGTAAAACCCCACATTCAACTCAATTATACTAATTTGAAATGTATAGACACTAGCCCCAAAGCAGAACTTTTAATAATATGCCTCCATCAAAATTCAGAAACGGTATTGTGGGTCCTGAGAAATATAATATAAATATAAAGCACAAGACAAGGAACTCAAAAGAGTAAAGATGTTCAAGGATCTTGAAGAGTAGATGAATAAATTGCTTGATAAAGTCTGTGAAAACACAAAGATAGGTTAAAATAACAAAAATCATAATGAGAGTAGAATTTAACAAATAAATAGGATCACTAAACAAAATCTAATATAAGAAAAAAACTGAAAATTAAAATTTAGGAATTCAAACAAAAATCTCAGTGGTAAGGTTCACCAATAAAATACAAGACATGGGACAAAACCATAGTCGCTGAAGGGAAGGAGCAAGAAATTGGCACCTCAGTCAAAGAAAATATTAAATCCACAGAAGTCCAGGCACACAACATCTAGAAAATGTGGGACACTATGGAAAGACTAAATCTGCAAATAATAAGAATGCATGAAAGAGAAGATACCCAGATAAAGCTCAGAAAAATTCAAGAAGAAAATAACCACAACCTGAAGATTGATAATCCTGTCAAAGTAAAAGAATGAAAAATAAAGAACAGAGAAAGAAATCCTCCATGGAACATAGTGATCAAATGTACACTAAATGTACAGAACAAAGCATATGAAACTTTGGAAGGGGAAAGGACAAAGTAACACAGAGAAGCAAACCCATTAGAATAATATTTGTCTTATCACTAGAAGCTCTAACATTAAAGAAGGTACCGGATGATTGTTCTACAGAGACCACAATTGCTGGCCCAGACTATTATAACCAGGAAAAAAAATCAATCAAAATAGATGAAGAAAGAAAATCATTCTACAATAAAACCAAATTTGAGCAGAATCTATTTAACAACCATACTTTAACAGGAAAAGTTCACTTTTAAGAGATTAACTACACCCAAACAAAATAAAGCAATAAAAAATGGTCTCACACCAGGACACTAAAAGAGGGGGAATAACCAACACATTCACAACAAAATAACCGAAATCAGTAGAGGCTACTCACTCACTGATGACTCTAACATCAATGATCTCAGTTCCCTAATAAAAACACATAGGCTAACAGAAATAATGCCAAAACAGTTTTTATTTTGTTACTACAGCCAAGAAACGCATATTACCATGAAAGTTGGTCATCACCTCGTGGTAAAATTTTGAAAAAATATATTAAAAGAAAATGGGCGGAAGAAGCAAACCAGTATAGATATTTAAACATGACTCAAAAGAGTAGTCAAATTAAAA